AGGCATTTAGCAAATTACATGTTGCTTTGCATGCTGCATGGTCATAAAAGAACATGTGGTTATTCTGCCCTGGGTTCATCTTACTGGATTTCTTTCAGATTGATTTTTGGTATAAATTTCTTTTTTTGAATGGAGAAATTAATCCCATTTACATGGCAGGAGAGTCAGCCAGTTTGCCGAGGGGCAGAGGTGGGGCAGAGGTGGGGCAGAGGTGGGAGGGACATGCTGAGAGCTGCTCCTTTTGAGCTCCCTGGCTGTCCACTTTCTCCCTAAGTCATGCATGAGGAAGCAGAGGAGCAGTGCGCTATAATTCCTACAAAGAATTTTATTTATTATACAGTCAAAATTAATGAGATCCTAACTCCATCAAGTGCTCCCAATAAATTTGAGACTTCAAATGGGTATTTTCTATATAAAGGGAAAACTGTATTAACAATTTAATTGTTGTGTCTGTGTGTTGTTACGGATGAGCAAGTTGTCAGCTGCTTTGTGACACTCACCCTGAAGCTCCGCTTTGGCTGTATCTCCTTACTGATCCCAATTAAGGTAACATCAGAAAAAAAACCAGAGGCTAAATGGAGAGGTCAGTGGTAGGAGTCTCTTGTCAAAAGACATTGTTATTTTCTGTACCTGGGCTAATAAACAGCCTATTAATTAGTGAGTGTTTAGAATAAAGTAGATCTGGTTTTGCCTTACTGGAAAGATGAAGAAGATCTTCCATTTAATTTCCCCTCAAAGCACTATAAACCTCAGATAAATCATCCTCAGTCAGCATTCAAGGCTCAGATAAAAAGCCATCTCTCTCTGTTTCCTCTCTGCATGTCACACAGTTGTAGCCACATGGAGACCTGGGTCCCAAAGGAGTCCCTGGGCAGACAGTGGTGAGTCGGGTAGCCTGTGGTGGCTCTGCCCTGTTGCATTGCCCCAGTATACAAAGAGCCAGCAGCTCTTTTGTTGTAATAAATCATAGGCAATCCAGGCATGAGCTCTGGCCAGAAAAATGTAATGAGTTAATGTCTGCTGCCATACTGTAGTCCCTGCTGCCTCTCCACCAAGGGGTAAGCAAGTGCTGTTAAATGAAGCCTCAGGCTGGAGACCTCCTTCTAGACCCCAGGCTTCTGTTTCTCACTGAGCCAAATGTATATGGATGGGAATTAAATGCAAAAATATTCACCACCATCCCTATTTACTTCATACCCCGCTTACATCTGTTTTGCTTTGCTCCAAGTAGGAGCATGATGCTGTTCTCATGGCAAGGTGCATTGCAGCCATCCACCTGCAGTCCCAGAGAGTCTCAGATCTGGGCTTAGTCTCTAGGCAGAGATTCCAGTGGGGTGGTTTAAAAGTGCCTCATTACACAAGAAGGTGACATTAACAGCCGCATCGAGGAGAAGGGGAAGAAAATCAAACATCACAGAAAAAAACACTACTTTAGTCATAATTCAACCATGCGTGGAGAGCTAGGCAGAAGGAATTTCCAGTCTGCTCAACTGCTTCCTGGAAATGCTAGAGCTAGTCTGTAGGCATGTCAAGAGAGGAGATGTGACCACCAATGTGGGACAGAAAATAAAAAGAACAGCATTCTGTGCATTAAACAGGAGGTCAGATCTGATGCTTGTAGATATTACCAGGTCTAAAAGTTGACAAACAACAAAGAAATTACTTTTACACACAGACAAAATTTGAAAGACTGCTCCTGTGGGACACCAAAAACCTAAAAAGTATTTTAAAACATATTTAATGCCTGAATCCTTTTGATCTTTAGTGACACTAGGACTATACTCAGTGCCCTTCACCATCTAAGCAAGTGGAGGGTTTGTTTCCCAGGAGGGCCTGAGCCTGTTGCAGGATCTATTCCTGCACGTAATGAAATTTAATAGTCTCACTTCCCTTCAAGTATGCAGCTGCTCCCACCATTGGTTCCCTTTCTCTAGCATTGCTGACAAGAGTCACGCTTAGCATTACAGTTTGTTGAGGTCTTCCCAAACTGTACCTCTCTCATTTTGTCAGTTTTTATCTATGGTAATGGGTCAGGTCTTCTTTCCTTTTATCAAGATTTGACTCTTCTCTTGATCGGGCAGTTTAATCTAGAGATTACTGAAATGCATTCAAGGTAAGTGAATACTGACATTGTCTTCCAGTGACTGGTATTACAGATCTAAAATAACTCCTACTTGCTGGTATTTGTAAGGCTTAATTTGTTCTGGCATGAACTTTTTTGCTGGGTTGCAGTTTGAGTAGTAAATACAACTATTATAGGTGTCACAGCATAGGCAGTCCAAGATCTCAGGCTGTTTGGAATAAAACAGCCTTGTAGAGCTCCCTGACTACCCAGAGCTCTACAAGCTCTCTGTCCATCTGAGCCACTTGGGCTGTGCTCTCCCTTTCTTGCATCAAATTATCTCAGATGAATTCAACTAAAAGCTCTGTAGACTACGCTATACAGATAGACAGAAAGACCATTCTTATCTATTTTAGAACTAACATCTACTGGTTAATTACTAGTTCTTTAACTTCTGGTTTCTAGCACAGACTGCTGCACTCAGAAATCACAGGATAAGATGTAATAGTTCGCAAAGTCAGCAGAGAAACAGACTACCATGAATAAAACTAAGCAATGCTTTGTTACTGGCAAATTCAAAAATGAGGCAATCAATAGATATTGTTTGTTGGGGGTTTTTTTTGGGTGGGTTTTGTTTGGGGTTTTTCTTGGCTTTCATTGAAGCACCAAGTTGACAGACATGTTGGAACTATTTACATTCAAGTCGCAATAAATGTAATGTGGGATATTCCTATAAATGATTTTATCTTATTTTTAAAATAAAATCTGCATGATCATTCTGTATCTCTTCCTGCTGGCATCACTTTTATTCTTGCAGCCAAGAGAGTCAGTTAATAATTTCATTCAAACTTGCTGGCTCTGACTTTTGTTTTTGGCTTCTCCCATCCCTTCCATTCCTGCTGTCTCCTAGGGGAGACCTTGCAGGAATTTTGCAGGAATTGTCAGCTACAATTTTTTATTTTTTGTAAACCTGGCCATTGCTCTGACTGTGCTAAATCAAGCAAGGAAATGCAAGCAGTTTTTCTTTTTTGTGTGTGTGTTTGTTCTTTCTCCCAAAAAACCACATGCTCAGCTTCCTTACCCCTGCCATTAGGCCAGTGATGTACATTTTCTTCCTTGCTTTACCATAGGCCCTGACTTGGCAACTTACATGGCAAGATGCCTTTTTCAGTGTCCCCATCCACTGCACTGCTATTACAAAGCAGGATGATTGTGCATGAGCACAAGTATTGAAGCAGGCACAGTGACTAACCTGCCTGCCAGCCTGTTCTTGCTTCTGTCTGGCCCATCATCAGTGCTGCAGAAAGGACGTAAATGAGAAATGTTATAGAGGAACATTCTACCGAATGGGGACAAGGCTAATGCAAGTCTGGTGGCAACCACCAAGCTTGGCTGTACTTACTGCAGGAATTTTGTCCTCTCTGCTGGCTTTGTTGCTTTAGTCAGCCTACAGTGTTATTATGAAAAGAACTAGATGGTGGCATACTGGCACTCATCTCCAAGATAGTAAAAGAACGTGGATATCACAGTGGTTTTTGTACAGTGATGAATAAAAAAACTAAACCCACACCTCTCCTGGAGATGGTCTTTGCAGAGGCTAATGCTTGTCCTTCAGCTATAAGAGCCAGTACCAGTAAAGAGATAGGAAAACAAAGCTGTTCCAGGCCTGCTGCTTTGATCCTTTGTTGGCACATCTGTACACACCAAGACCTAAGCAAAAGGGAGCAGACACAGGCTCCGTAAACTTTAGGGTACTTATGCCCTCTGAGTATCAAATCCTGGAGTCAGATACCAAAGAATACATGAGGATCTGACCCGTTGGGAGTTGGTAAAACATATGGCATCTACAGCTCCCATGAGTGTCCCTGGTGGTGCAGTGGCTAAACCACAGCGTTGTCAACGCTGAGATCTGGGTTCGATTCCCGGTTAGGACACTCCCCGGGCAGATGGAGCTCGCTAGCCCTGTAAGGCAATCCATCTACGTCCTGAGGACCTCGCTGCCACCGTCCAAGTGTGCTTGGCCCCGGCAGATGAACCTCAGGATT